CCTGGAAGGAGTAGCCCGTCCCGCCGTTCAGGAAGGAATGGAAAATCTCCGGGGCTGAACAGAAAGGGCGAAATGCAAGAAGTTAATGGCTGACTTCAGTTTCCTTCTGTTTTAGTAGTTCATGTAAGTCAGTATCTAAGCCTTATGGTTATTTTCAGCAGCAGCAGCAGCAGCAGCAGCAGCACGCCCGCCCTCGCCGGGCAGCTGGGTTACCTGGCGCACGCGGGGGCAGCCCTCCCAACCGAGCGAGGGACGGCAGAAACCCGGCGCCCGCCGGGACGCACCCAGGAGGGGCAGGGTGTGATGGGGAGGGTGTGCTGACAGCGATGCATTCACCCGGGGAGTTTCACTTTTCAAATGATCAGGCTCCGCTGCATGACCTGGGTGCGTGCGTTAACGTGCTACATTAATTCAACGCCTTTGTCACAGACAGGGACTGTCAGGCGGCATGCGGTGAGCACACTGAGACGTAAACTACAGACGGAAGGAACAGCTATCATTTCTTACCCATGTATGGCTTTGTTCCAGCTAATGCAGTTGCTCTTTCACCGTCCCTAATTATTGTTGCAATATTAAAATCTGTTAAATGTGCATGACCTTAAATAAAGACACATTTTAAGAAGGAATTAATCGCAGCACAGAACAGTGGCAATGTAGAGTCAGAATACATTTGTCTCATAAGCTTCTGCCCTCGGACAGTGTAGAACAGGCGCAGGCGGGTCAGGGTCAGACCCCACCGAACAACCGTAACAGATCCTGAACCCCTCTCAGGATCTCAGTCTGGCCAGGTGATTACATGGTAGCTAGCTTTGCCTCTTGATTTTAAATCACACTTGGAGAGAACTAGTAACCTGCACCAGCTCTTGGCCAAATCGCTCTAGCCAGAACCTACAGCTGGTGAAGAAGACAACAGGGAAACACTATACTAAGACAATGCCCTGGTTGCATGGATTAAATCACTAGAACTGTTTTTGATGAAAGCCATTGAACCACGACTACGCCAAAGTCCCAGAGCCAAAACAGTACTGCCGCTCTGTACCAGACCACAGCAAATTTGGATGTGTCAGTTGAATGAAATCGTAGTAATATTTCCCAAACCCTACGCCTGTACAAAGAAATCATTAAGATTTTTCAAGAAGTGCTGGAACACCTTCTCTCTGTCGCTACTTTCTCTGTCATCAGGACTGAAAGTTAAAATTCAGAAAAGGTCATTACTTCAAGCAAGCCTGGTATACAGAAAACCCACCCACTTGCCCTTCTGGGGGTTACTTTCTGCTCTCTGTCTACAAGGCACCTATGGAAGTGGTGTGTAAATCACCTAGGACACTGCCTTGTCCTATGAAGTCTTCCCTTACATCTCCTTTTTCCCATTTGTGTTTGGGCTTTATACCCTGCGCTATTTTCTAATGAAGTTCCATGCAAATGCAAGCTTTGGTTTTGATGAGGCTTTACGATAAAACTCGGATGGTTGGAGCCTGAGAGATTGTGTCTTTGTTTTATAAGATCTACTATTGTAACAGAGGTCATTACAGGATCTCCTATGGTATCTCTCCTATGTAGGCCCCTGAGACAATATTACCAGTAGATGCTCTCATAAAGGTTCCTGAACTTCCTCCACCTGGCTCAGCCCAGATCCATCCCCCCAGGAAGACATCAAAACTACCCTAGAGGTACGTGCAGATCACTCATTCTAAAACTCAACAAAGTCAGTTCCGGTGCTTCGTGCCCTCCCACGACGCCAGGTACCGCAGCTCCGGCATGGGTGACCTGGGCCCTAGCGAGAGAGGAGGCAGAGCGTGGGCGAAGCGAGGAGGGTAACGAGGACAGGGGCTGCCCTTGGTGGATCTTCCCTGGCATTACGATGCACAGGTACGTTCAGTCAAACGCTGATAGTTAGAAGGAGTGGTGCCTTTTCCATATTTTTTCCAGATAAAAAGACACACAGTATTCAAGACTCTAAAGAATCTGTCCCTTGAATGAAGGAGGCAGACAAAGCAAGGCAGAGAGATCCTACCTTGCTCATCGAGGAGGATGTTGTCTGGTTTTACATCTCTAGGAAAAGAAGCAAGGTTACAGCAAGATGAAATCTCCGTCAGATCAAGGATGCAACTCAACAACAAAAAACCTGCAACTTTTTTATCTATTAAAAATTAGAAAGGTATAAAACAAAAATACCCCAACATGAGACAAGTCCCTTTACGATGGACTAGAAATACGCTGTTCCTGGGCAACTGGGCAAAAAAGTGGGAGCATTGACTTGTTCAGGCATAATTTCCAAGTAAAATTAACAATGCCAAGACTGGGCCTAATTCTGAGAAGCCCTCAATCATTTGGAAACCCACCCTGGCGGGCGCCTTCAGGCCCCCGGCAAAGCGTGAGGCTTCCTCGGAGCGAAGGGGGAGCAGGACCAGCAGCCGGAGGGTGCCCAGGACCAGCACTGCCGGTGCAGTTTAACACCCGCAGTTCCCCAGCTTGGGGGTAGCGACGGCGTTAAGGGCCCCTCTGCAGCAGAGACAGCATCGCCCACCCAAACCAGCCACGGGCAGCGCGGTGCACGGGCAGCGCGGTGCACGGGCAGCTCCCACTGGCTACTGACCGCAAGTATGAGACTGCGTGGTTACCTGTGGATAATATGCTGACTTCGTAGGTAGTCGAGAGCCAGCGCCATCTCACAGATGTAGAGTTTGACCGTTTCTTCTGTAAACTGGACGTTTTGCTGCAGATGATAGCGCAGGTCGCCACCGAGAAGCAAGTCCACCACCATGAACATGTCCTCCTCGTCCTGGAAGGAGTACCTGCGGGACCGGCGGTGCGTGAGTGGGCAGGCTGGGTCGCGCAGGAGTCACAAAGCCAAGTCAGGCTTTTTCCCTCTCCTAATTACAGAGCTCCTGTGAAAACTGCAAACGTTCCCACCACGAGCACATGCCCGCCTCACTGTTCACACCTTTCTCATTAAGCAAACACAACTCAAGACACTGTCTTGTTTTTTAACCTGTTGCTGCCCTAAGCAACACTTCCTTGGAAGAGGTAAGTGTCCTTATTAACCCCCGCCCTTCGCCCTGCCACTGCCACCTCCCACACGCTGCCGTGTAATCCCACCAGCAGGCAGAGCTGCAGGCAGAGCTGCAGGCAGAGGTCGGGGCTCTGCTAGCCCATCACTTCAGAGAAACTTCGCATTTTCAATTGTGAACAATCTGATAAACCTATACTTAAAATATCTCTGCCTATCCTGAAAAAGAATTGGAAAACACAAGTGCTAATTTAACCATAAAAAACAGAAAATGAGATTTCTATTTACTGTAGAGTAAAACGCCTCTCTCAATCTGCAGTGGATCCCACAGGAGACTGACGGCAGTGAGGATACACTACAAAACAACGTTCGATTGTTATATTTGGCGATAGTATTTCTAAGGAAAGAGCATGCGGGATTGTATAATACTTATGAATCACACGCTTCTGCTCTCAACTTAAATGTAAGCTCATTCTAAAAGTACGAGCTGAAAGGGAAAAATTTGCTAAGAGAGCAAGTTTTCTTAAGAATTTCATTACTTGTTGGAAAAAAAATATTTGCAATTGCCAGAATGCTGAAAAAATGCATATTAACTTATTTGTCTAGTCTGGAGTAGCTTATCAACAAAAAGAATGTAAAGTATTATCAACTTACACCCCTTTGGGTATAAAACTTCCTGAATTTTTTTAAATCTCCCCACCCACCAGCCTTGCCGTGCATCCGACGTGGCCGGAGAGGGCGGGGACGCCCGCGGCCAGCCGGTTGCCCAAGGCTCAGCCTGCTTGGCCATCCGAGGTGTGCAGCTTCCCCGGGAAAAACTGCCGCTTCTGCCCCTCTTCCGTCTCTGTGAGATCAGGGAGCCGCTCCCGAGGCACCGACCCTAGCCTTAAAAACACATTCCAATAGTGGTATCAGCCTTGCAGCCTCTGAAGGAGATTACCGTGCACCATGCCGGGCAGATGCACTTCACTGCATTTTTTACATAATGTATCACTTTTGCTTACCCCTTGTTTTCCACGTAAGCAAGGCCTTAATTCTACATTTACCATTTTCTCCTTGTGGGTGTGGCTGCACAAATTTTTAGGCCGTCTCAAAAACCGCTGGGTTGGACGTACTGCTCACCTGCCCTGGGGACACTCCCTACGCCACAGCTGCAGCAGCCTGCCCTTACGAAAAGCCGCGCTATCATTTGCAAGAACGCATCACAAACCACGCCAGAGGTGTGCACGACACGTGGGGAATAAATCCTAGGCAACATTTTGAACAACCCGGGTCATGCAGTAAGAGAACGGCCCGCTCTTCCGTTCTCAGTCTGTCATCTTCCCCTCAACGGGGTGTCAAAGGTTTTCCACCACCTCTCACAAACGTCACTCTTCTTGCGGTCTGAGAATATAAGCCATGAACCCTTTATCACCCTGCAACGCGTCCTGTATTTGCTCTTGCCCCAACTCCCTCCAGCAGCGATCAGAGCTGTTTGCTAGCCCAGGATCAGTTTGTGGCACGCTGCTCGACTGTGGGGGAAGATGATGGATTTTCTGATCCCTGCCCCGCGTCGGGCGCTCCTTCACGGGGCGGGGAAGGCAGAGAGTGGAGGGACCAGCCGGCAGCAGGATCCAGGAGAGAGTTCCAAGGCTGGCTGCCAAGTACGCACCCCAAACTAACCAACAATCTCAGGATATAGTGCACTATTTTCTAAAACTTGTAAATTAGTATGTTGTGCAAAATTTGATATTGATACATCTGAGCTCTAAAGGAATATATTTGATTTGGCCAGCAAACCTGTTGCAAAGCACGTTTTTGCCCTTAGTCGTTCTCCAGAAAAAGCCCACGCACCTCATTATTTGAAGAGAACATGTAACTTTTTTTCAGCAACAGATCCCTAAAGCCAGCTACATTTCAATATTGCTCAATGCTAACTTGATTGTGTGTGCACTGGCAAAAACTATCCTCGTTACTGGGTAATGTTTTAGGGTCTAATTTAAAAAAAAACTCCTCGAATCAGGCTGAAATCTAACCAATAGCTTTAGTTGGTAATGCTTTCGAAATGCATCCTGTCTAGACAGTCACTGTAAAAAACGACATGCAGTGTATGTCCTCAGCTTCCCTACCACCGTATTAAACCCCCACCCCACCAGTGTCCCTCGGCGTACATCTACGGAGACACCTTTGCAGAGCCTACGCAGACCCAAACACGGTCCGGACGGCTTTAAACCACCCGCTAAAACCTCTTGAGTTAGGAGCTACTCAGTAACGCCCTAGTGAACGCACTGGCTACGCCTGGGAGCAGTCCTGTTTATTTAAACTATTATCCAATCTCCGCGAGATCGAGTCCTTTACAAGGACCAAACACTTACTGTGCAAAGCACTACATATTTTGTATAGTTTTTCTATTAAGAAAAGTTGTAAATCATCATCTCCAAAAATGCTAGCTTCTTTACGTTTTCAAGCGGTTATCTGCTACAAAAATTGGCCCCCTGCGGTACCCGATTGATCACAGACTGCCGCAGTACTCAGTATCCCCATGCACGTGGGAGGGAGTAGTCGTTTCACGGCAGTCACCGGCAGCATCGTACTGCCCCAAGACACCGCAGTCGAGCTGCGCACCGACACCCATGCCTCAAAACCATTTTACGCTTAAATTGGCAGGAGGTCCCTCAGGAGGGACCTGATAGTGGTACTGCCAAGCAGGCTCTGAAAAGAACCCAACAAACACCCGAGCGTTTTTGATAGAAAAAGAGAAGCTAAGCCGTTTTAGAATGTTTGATGCCGTAACACTTGGATATCTTCTGTGCTACGTTTCCTGAAGGCATTTCACGTTCTCACAGACTGCCACGGTAGCAGCTCACTGGGTTCCTCCCAGGGATGCCCGTGACCCCTGAGGACGGGCAGCACGTGGCTCTGCGAGCACCTGAGTGCGGGCGGCCCCAGCAGGGAGGGGAAGGAGCTGCTCACCAGAGATTCACCAGGAACACGTGCTCGATCTCCTGCAGGATTTCCAGCTCTCTGAACACATTGCGCACCTCATCTCTCTCGATGCACTGCTGTTTGTTCATGTACTTCATGGCATACATCTTCTCAGTGTCTCTCTTCTGCACAATGCACACCTGAAGCACCACAGGAGGGGCAGGGAAAAAAGAGATTTAGTAAAACGCTCCATATCCTCATTGCTGCTTTACCTGGCGGAGACCCGCGCCGCTCAGCACTTCTACCCCTGCTATCACACTGCCCGGGCTGCGGCTTGGGACCTGGGAACAGAAGCGCCCCGGCTCCAAGCGCAGCGCCCGTGCGCTCCCGGCCCCAGCCGACTGCCT